AATTACAATTAGATAAATTTAAGGGTGGGCAGTTCTGGGTACCTTGTATTTTTCGAGGAAACCGAAATCGAAACCGCACAGTACAGGTTTCCAAAAAAAGGAATCAAAATCGAAACCGCACAGTACAGGTTCTTAAATTCAAGAAACCGAAACCTAAAATGCAGGTTCCGGTTCCTTTCCTGGGTACCCTATAAAAAATAAATGACCCCCTATTAGTTTAAAAAATAACAAAAATACCTTAAAAATTTACAAATACACTCCTAACAAATTTTGATTATTCATTTATTTGTGTCCAATAGACTCATAAATCATCTAATCTCTAGGCAACACTTGAATTCAATCAATTCATCATAATTTACATAAAATTTCTCAATCAAAACCAAAACACAAACAATTAATTAAACAATCATACTATAAATCTGTAATTTAATATTATAATTAATTATATTTCTAATCATTTAATTAAGTATTGTACTAATGTTTATAATAGAATATTATAATTAATTAAGTAATCATACTATAATGTAATGTTATAATTAATTGAATTTTTAATAATTTAATTAAGTAATGTACTAATGTAGTAAATTACTAATGTTTATAATATAATGTTATAAATTTATAATTAATTAAGTAATCATTTAACTATGTAATATTATAATTAATTAAGTGATTATAATATAATATAATGTAATTTTATTATTAATTGAGTAATTATTATATTATAATGTAATGTTTTAATTAATTAAATTTCTAATTATTTAATTAAGTATTGTACTAATGTTTATAATAGAATGTTATAATTAATTAAGTATTGTGTTAATGTAGTAAATAACTAATGTTTATAATATAATGTCATAATTAATTAAGTAATTATTTCATTATGTAATTGTATAATTAATTATGATACTATAATGTCATGTTATAATGAATTAAATAATCATACTATAAATCTTTAATATAATATTATAATTAATTAAATTTCTAATCATTTAATTAAGTATTATACTAATGTTTACAATAGAATATTATAATTAATTAAGTAATCATTTGTTTATAATGTAATGTTATAATTAATTATGTTATCATACTATAATGTAATGTTATAATGAATTAAGTAATCATACTATAAATCTTTAATGTAATATTATAATTAATTAAATTTTTAATTGTTTAATTAAGTATTGTACTAATGTTTATAATATAATGTTATAATTAATTAAGTAATCATTTGTTTATAATGTAATGTTATCATTAATTAAGTAATTATTATAACGCCCCACTTGAGATACGTAGCCATTGTTTATGGTATGGCCTAAAGGGTTACTGAATTGCCCTTAAATGAGTTTGTATATTGTTCATGTTGTTTGGTTGGCCCTTAGTTGAATTTATGTTTTGGGTTTGGTTGAGTGTTTACCATGGAATTGATCAAGACTTGGTAGATTTTGGAGTTGCAGCCTTTGCCGGGGCGAGGAAGGAGCTTCGCCGCGGCGACGTTGGTTCTGTGTTAGCAGTGTCGGTTCTGGAATGTTTCGCCACAGCGACGAGACGGTAGAAAAGTTTCTTGAGGTTTCTAGAGAATTCTCCATAGAGGACAAATGACTTTTCTACCCCTAATTAGCAGGAAAAGTGGGGAGTAAAATACAAAGAAATTTCATGAAGAATAGTGTAAAATGGGGGTGAGTTTGTAAATAATTAAAGGATAAAGGTGGAAATTTCAAGAAAGAGTAAGGGCAAAATGGGAAAGGGTGTATATTATATGAGCTAATAAGGGTTGAGTTCTCTAAACCCCTTCATTTCACCCATTTCCACCGCCTCTTCATCTCCCATTTTCTCTCAATTCCTCACTCAATCTTCCAAGGGATTTTTGAGAGTTTTGAGTTGGAATTTGACAAAGAAGTGATCCTCAGCAAGAAGAGATAAGAATCCCTACTCTAGATATGAGTTTTATTTATGTAAGGGTTAAGTTCTTACTAAGTTTATGCTTAGGAAATAAGGGGAAAACTATGATCCAACAAGAGTAGAGAGCTTTAGTGGAGACTACTCAAGTATGAGGTAAGTGAATCCCAACCCAAGTTGAGATTCTTTTGAGTAGAAATTTAGTAGAAATGATGTATGCATGTTTTATGTATGTATTTGAGAAATTGAGTAGAGATATATGTCTACTTGTTGAGAATTAGATTGAGATAAATATTCATGTTGAGTTTGTTGGATACTTTCCCTTTATAAGAAGTGTGGATGTGTGATAAGTTTAGATGAAGTTAGATGAGAATGAGCATATATTTTGGAAGTGTTCTTCTATGGTAGGGATTATGCCCATGGAAGGGAGTTTTACTTCCAATTTTGGATGGTTAAAAAGAGAAATAGAGTTGTAGTTAGAAAAGAGTTTTATATGCACATGAGTTGTTTGATGAAATGTCTAAGAGAAGCATGAGAATGAGTTATGAACCTTAATTATTGCAACATTGCATATTGGCATTTCCTAAGTGCATTAATGAGCATGAACCATCCATATGTATTAAGTGTGCATCGAGAAAGAACTTGAGAAAAAGTTGAGAAAGAGTAGAGAATTACTCTAAGAGTTAAGCTACATTATGATGAGTAGCTAGTGATGAGTAGCTAGTGATGAGTAGCTAGAGAAATAGTAGAGATCTTGTGCACAAGAGTTAAAGAGGAGAATAGAGTAAGTTGTGCGATGGGGAACCTGTGAGTGATGAGTAGAGTCACGAGAGTGGATGTTTTGTGATCCCCAGCCGTGCCTCTGGTTAGATGAGGCAGTGACTGTCACGTAGAGTGGAACATGAGGTTCCAGCCGTGCCTCCGGTAAGATGGGGTCGTGACATTCAGAGAGAGAGAGAATACATTTATGTGGCCAAAAGTTTCGAATCCATGCATGACTAAACCCGATCGATAGAGAAATGAGCAAAAGTCAAGTAGAGTGGTAGCGCCCAGCCGTGCCTCCGGTCAGATGAGGTCGTGACATTCTAATGAGTAAGAATGAGAAAGAATAGAAATAAAAAGAACAGAAAGAGTAAAAGAGTAAAGTCACGAAAAGCGGGTTGAGTTCCCGGCCGTGCCTCTGGTAAGATGAGGTCGTGACATACACCAGAGAGTGTATAGCAAAGAATATGAGAAACAGAAACAGAAAGAGAATAGAGATGAGAAAAGCTAAGAGTTAAGCTATATTATGAGTATTAGCTTGAGAAAGAGATGAGTAAACATGAGAAAGAATAAAGAGAGACAATGAGTAGGGTTACGAAGAGTGGGATGAGTACCCAGCCGTGCCTCCGGTAAGATGAGGCCGTAACCTACAATAGAAAGTTAACAGAAAAGAGTTATGAGAAAGAGAAACAGAAATGAGAATGAGAATTAAAGAATGAGAAAGCTTGAGAAAGCTTGATAAAGAATGAGATAAAAAGAGAAAGAGAGTATGAGAAAGAATGAGAAGGTTTGAGCTAGTAAAAATAGAGAGTAGAAGAGAGAAACATGCAGTTCGTTTGTATTAATTGCATGTATAGCTCATACAGGCATGCACCATGATTTTCCTTCATGGTAAGTATGATGAGAATAAGAGAAAACCATGATTGTCCTTCATGGTGAGTAAGAATAAGAGAAAAAAAAACAGAGAATAAGAACAGAAAGAAAGAAAGAATAAAAAGAGCAGAACAGAGAGAATGGAGAATAAAAGTACTAGAAAGAAAGAGAAAAACAATGAGAAACAGAAATAGAAGAACGATAGAGTAAGGAAGAACCAAAAAGTGAATTCGGGGGGGGGGGGGGACAGATAGTAGAGGATTTACTTACGGAGCATTGTTGTGCTCACCCCATTGTTCTTCTCTATTTTGCAGGAAATAGGAGCAGCAGTCGGATGGACGTCGAGGAGCGGAGAGTATTGGCACCACTGTCACCAGCTATGATATTTTGTATTAATTAGAAAGTTTTTAATACATAGTATTTTGTATTTGTAAAGCATTATGTTTTTATGAGTAAAGACAAAGTTTTAAGCCCACTATCTTTTATACGATATGTATATTTATAATTTACACAATATGTATTATAAGAATACTAGTAAAGAGGAGGTGTTACAATTATACTATAAATCTATAATGTAATGTTATAATTAATTAAATTTCTAATTATTTAATTAAGTAATATACTAAATTACTAATGTAATATTATAAACTTATAATTAATTAAGTAATTATTTAACTATAATATAATGTTATAATTGATTAAGTAATCATTTAACTAGTACTGTATTAATGTTTATCAATTTATTTTATATAATTAATTAATTACTAATTTATTACAGATTTACTTAAAACTTGATAATTGAAATAAATAACTAAATATTATTTTATTATTCAATCAAATATACTATTCTATTAAAAAATAATTATTTTAATAACATTAAAATACTTTTAATTGGTTTTAATTTCAATTATACATTTAATTAATCAAAACTTTACTATTAATATATTATAATATATTAAAGTTTTTTATATGATGTAGTTTATATATAATAAGTATAATTGTATATTTATTTAATTAGGTTATTGTAAAAATTTAACTTTTTCCATTTTAATTTTTTTATATGTAAAATTACTATAGACATCCCATTCTTCATAGATATTTCATTTCAACCCAAGTTTCAAAGAGGATACCTGCTGCTGCAGGTTCCAAGTTGGTTACCTACTACAGGGTTTTTTTTTCCAGGTTCTGGTTCCTCCATATGTAAGAATCGGAACTGGAACCGCACAGTGTCGGTTCCAAAAAAATGGAACTGAAACCAACCCACACAGTATAGGTTTTGGGTAGATTTTGGTTCTAGTTCTATCCACTACCCGTACTCACCCCTTTTAGATTAGAATTGCAGACAATAGTCTTTTTTATTTATTTTATTTTTTATTTTGGAATAAATGGGTTGGGCTTGAAACATCGGGCCATGAAGTCTAATAAAATTAGTGTTCTTGGTCACATAGAAAGAATTAAAAAAACCAGAGAAAGACAAAAAAAAAAAAAAAAACCTAAAGCTGAGAGCGAGATCCCGCGTGCTGTGTTAAGGACATAATTATGAACAGTCAAAGCTTTCCAGTTCCTCACAAGAAGTTCTCAGTTGATATAAAGGTAAAACCCCACTTTGCTTCTTTACTTAGTTTCGCTTAATTATTAAGGGTTTAGCTATCTTTTTAGCCCTTGATCCGTTTGTTTTTATGTGGATTACAAACTGTTTATGTATTTGTTTTGGCCAAACCAGCTGAAATCGACTCTACAGTGTTTTTTTTCCTTCCTTACTAGAAACTCTAATGATCAACGGATTGTTGAAATTTTGCGTAACTCAGTATATTATTGATAAGTTAAGTTAAGGTGAAATGAATTAGTGGGTCAATGGAATTGGGCATCCAAGACTTGTTTGTAGGAATTTTTGTTTGTGATTGATTCTCTTATTGGAGTAGCGTTTTTGTGTCAGATAAACAACTTTTAGTGTTAATTTTGGAGTTAGTGAGATGTTTTAGTGTGAAAATTTTCAGGGATGTCACCAAGTTGTTGTAAACTCGTGATGTTCTACTGATACAAATGGTCGTGTGCTATAATTTTGACTTCTTCACTTGGAAGTCTAACTTCACTATGGTTTTATAGGTCTGTGATTAGTCTTTGGGCGTCTTCTTTCTTAATTTTTCTTTGTTTTCTTTCTCTTGCTTATGGTTCATTAGGGAAACAATGTAGGACTTCTCAGGGTCTATAATCAACTCTATGTTTGGGGTATGCAAATTCATTCCTTCAGTGCCTTATGTAGGGGTGTCTCGAAAGGTTCAATGCGGTGTTTCCTAGTGTATAAGAAGTTGACAGATTCTTCAAACACACCCATTAAAGGTTCTAGTTACAATTAGGAGAGCCAAATTGGTATCTTTGAATAGCCATGGCCTTTCCAATTCTGCTGCATTCAGATTTCTTTATAGGTGAAATGTTAGACCAGTTCTAAGAGGCTCTAATGTTTTCTAATTGCATCTATTTTGCATGGCAGGGAAACAAAACAGATATAGTCCTATGCAGTTACGATGATCATTTTCTTGTAAGTATGAGGCCTCTGGTTGGTACATGCATATGGCTGCAAATCTACGTGTATGTGGTAAATATTTTTTAATGTGTGAAACACTTTTCAGGTTATTGCTACTCAGATAGGAACTATGGGGACAATCCTGCAAGCCAGGTCTGCAAAATAATCAAGCTACTTTTTTTCTAGCCAGTGTGTCATTTTGCGGTGCAACTTATAGATGAGTTACAAATATCTTTCTTTATTGCCAGGAAAGAGGAAGGAATGTCAGTCAATCCGACTTTCAATGTGTCTGTAGTATTTGGAAAACGAGATGAGGTAATCCAGCCTGCATTTTTTTTTTTTTTATTTTTTTTTATTTTACATTGATTTGATATCTCATTTTTAGTTTTCCTTGATTTTGACTGAATGCAAAACATGTAGCCAATGCTAGTGGCATGTGCTCGTCAGTTGGTTGAACACATAAGGTATATCTCCAATTCTGCTAATCACTAATTATGAAGTTTACCTTGTCTTCATTGAAATCTTTTTCCTTGGGTTTTTTCATACTTGTCAGAAGCAAATCAATATGCTTGTGAATTTTCAAAAAGGCCACAAGCCAGTTTTGATGCGTGTTTTCACCAAAATTACAATATGGACAATTTCAATATATTTGCAAATGAAGCATATGTAATTTACTCACCTCATTTCTTCCTGAATAGTTGTTAAAATACAAATTTTGAAACCTTTTTCTATTTGCAGTCGCTCTGGCTCCTCTGAGCCGCTGGTGCTTTCTCTTGGCCTTAAAGATCATTCTGTGGTATAATACTATCCTATGGCTATGATATCTGTCTTCCTTTCTTATTAACAATGTAATGGTGAAATTCATGACACACTTCATGTTTTGCAGGAGACATTGAAAGGAATTGTTTTTGCTGTCACTGAGAATCGCCTTTGGTGACTGGAATGTTGTTTTGTTCAGACGTTTTCCTCCGATTTTGCATACATTCAAGTAATACAACCTCCTCACCTTTTAATTACTATTAATCAAGTATCCCATCAGTCGCATTTCAAATTACATCATCAAAGATGTTATTTCTTTGAGATCTTGCAAAATTTGTAATGGAATAGGAGAAATTAATTAGTACATTTGTAGGTGCAATTTTCTGATATACTTTCTATCCGTTTCATATATAATACTTTGAAGTTTCGTTGGCTTTTGTTCTAAGAATTGGGAGATAAAGAATTAAAGATACCTGCCTGACCTTTTGATTTAAAGAAAAAAAGAAAATGTGTCACCCGAGGGCTACCAGATCTGTTTTGGCAAAGCTAAAAAACGGGTTTCAAAGCTGGAAACAGGGCTAACAACAAATATCGTGTAACCAAAAGTTAAGGAACTCGATGAATTCTGGGCCGATTGAGCTGTTGCATGTGGAGACAAACGGTTCTGCGAAGGGAGAACGAAAGAGAGAGATTGTATTTATAATTACAAAGTATCATGCCAATAAATTACATATTACACGCAGAGACTCAACCAACGACATCTCAAAATTTCGGTGTTCGCCTTAGCACATGTTCACGCATATGGTACACTAAAAATACAATCCAAGACCACCGCTATACCCAGGAATTACCTGCAGGATCACAATGAAATCTCACCGCAGATAGCAATGATCAAGCCCTCAATTTATCAACATCACCATCAAGATCATTTTCTTTTCTTATTTTCCCTCTTTACTGGTCAAAGCACTCAATTGTTTTTCTAGCTGCAAAAGAAAAGAGAAGATAAGATTATTAAAAAGATGTAAAGTGACCAAAAATAAAAGAAAATTTTAACTTGTTGGCACATATAATTTGTAGATCCTCTCAAATCCAAGCCATAATTGTCAACTAAAGTTCTCAGTATAAGAAACATCAAATGGTACAATCATACAGTCATCAATGAAAAAGAAAGATTTAGTGAGTCAAGAAAAAGTAAAGTTACCAAAGAATAACATAATATTCCTTGCCCTGTTTATATTTGTCAACTTGTTACCAAGGCATTTGTCCAAATTAATTGAGATGTTTCCATTTATAATCACCATTATGACAACCATGATGAACAAAATTTACGACTAATTCCTCTCTAACACATCTACTAGAAATGCAAGTGACATGGAACTCAACCATTTAGAGCAAATAACAAAGTTGAACTTGCGTATCAAGTTCACATTAATGCATACCTGGGCATTTTTCATTTTTTGTCTCTGCAATTCTTCCATAAGGCTCCCAACTCTGACATAATAATCGAATTTCAGTTCAATGTGAACAAAGACAAAAAACCGCGTAACAAGATTTCCTTCTTTTTTTCAAAATTTTATCTCATACCTCTGTAGCAAAACGCTCATCTGAGACTGTAGCTCCCTCTCCCTTGTAGAAGCAGGTGTTATCTACATGTTGTATAAAGTAAATTACATTAATAAAATCGCAAACAAACAATTCCTAACCCTCTGCACTAGCATTCCTATAAAAACATTAAAAATAAGAAGAACAAAATCTTCTTAAACCTAACATAATAACCCCACACCAGCAACATTAATCTTAGCATTAGAAACAGAGACTTTAAGATACAACTTCTCTGCAATTCTGGTTGCCACAAGAATTGCGGTAGAGCGGAAATTAGAAAAGCAGCACTGAACAGCCAAGTCACTGGTGATCAATTTCAGTTTTGATACACAGATTTTATTTTTTCGTACAAAGTTTTTTACTTGATTACTATTTTTTGTAAATTCTAATAAAATTAATGCAGGTTTAATTAGGTTTCCAAAATCTAGCAATCCCTAAGATTTGACCTGTCTACTGTTATTCTATGCTCTGACAGATCATGCTCTTGGGTGTTTTATAAAAACTAAAACAGGCAGATTACTCTGAACTTCTTATGTTTCAATGCAACAACAAATAACACGTAATTTTGTTGGTTGATTAATTAGTCATAGTCTTCATGAATGGGTTAGGAAAGAGAATAATATTTATCTCATATTCATGAAACTACCTCATCAAGCTATACTGACTGCATCCCTAGTAAAAGTTGGTTGTGGCCTTTTCTAGCTTAAGAGAGAGAGAAAGATGTTGCATACCTGTAAGAGGTCATTAGTGGCAGCCTCGGGCAATTCTGGAAACTTGCCTGATAAAGCAAAGGATGTCACAACCAAGAAAGTTATTGAACCGAAAATTAAGTGGCAAAATATGAATGGGAGCAATATGGCAAACATTACCAGAAGTTTCCTCCACATACTTGATCAGTTTAATAATCTCTTCCTGTCAAATAAATATACAGAGACAAAAAATAAGAATGTAGTTTAAAGACAAATTATGAAATGTACAAAATAGCGATAGAAATAGAAAAATACCCGTTGTGCGGTGTTCTGCTGCAATATGTATTGCAGGGATGGAAAAAGTGAGGCAGCTGTAAAATTTGGAGTTGTTGGACTCATTGAACCTCCACTAACTGGGCTAAAGAAGCTGTTCATAGGTCCCTGAATGAAAGGAAATAAGGGCAATGGTTATAAAGCCATTGCCTAAAAGATAAATTGCTAAGTTCCATACACGTTATTTCTGAAGTCGGTCACAAAAAAATAAAATACAAACTCATTCATATATCATAAGCGCCCCCCCACAAAAAAAGTNAACAAGCTTCATCGTGCATTGTCCTACTCCGGAACTCTCTTATCTTCTGGAATCCTTCAATTCTGAGTCAAAACCGCCAAGTTTTGCCTTTATTTGCTAAAAGAGTCCATTTTAACCTGAAACACGAAAAGTAGAGAATTACGCACCAATTCAGGTAAAAATGCCCTAGAAAGTAATTGAAATCCGACAAAGAGATCATATAAAAACTGTATAATTTACGGATTATCAATCATCCCATAAGATAAAGAATGCGTAGCCCCAGAATCAATTAAAGCATATAAAAGAATTGCATGAAATAATAATTGACCAGTGACAGCTGATGGACTGGCTTCTGCTTCACCTTGTGCCACGGTAAACACTCTGGCACTAGTACCTCTAGAACTCTGGACTTCTGATAGGAGAGGAGCTTTACAATCCCTCCTCAAGTGCCCTGGCTGCCGGCACCGATAACACACGTTCTGGTCTCTCAAACACTCTCTTGAGTGGTTCTTTCCACATTTAGGACAAGGGGGAAACCCTTATGTCCGAGGTTGTTTATTCCTCCAATCTCTTCCATTCTGTCAAGGCTGAAACTTCTTCTTATTATTCTTCATTTCATTACTCTTCCCACTCTTAACTTTTTCTCTCTGTGGGCCGGAAGGTGGTTCACTCGATCCTTCTACTGAAGGACCTATATAGGTGATCTTGTTCTCAAATATCTCTGCCCTCATTGCCTGCCTCAAGGCCTCACTATAGGTTTACAAGGGATCGGTACCCGTCATTATGTCCCGAGCTGTCTCCGGTTTAAACCCATGAACAAATTTATCTCTCCTTAATACCGGAGTGCTAACAATTCCTGGTGCAAATCTGGCAAGGTCATTAAATCTCAGAAATACTCTTTAACTGTACTGGACCCCTGCTGCAAACCAATAAACTCTTGGACCTTCTCATGGACTCGGTCCTCTGTTCTATACTCAGCCTCAAACTCTCACCTGAATTCTTCCCAAGTCATTACTGCAACATCATGAGTATCTTCTATTAGTTCCCACCAAATTCAGGCATCACCCCGAAATAGAAAACTCACATACCGGATCTTTTCCCGGTCTGTCATGGGGAATAAACCCGTGGTACGCTCTACGGATCTAAACCACTCTTCTGCTATTACTGGATCTGTAGTACCCTTAAACTCTGAAGGTTGATGTTGACTGGAAAGACCATATATCGGCTCAACTTTATTCTGTACTGTGGGAGGTACTGGTTGCTCTCTTCCGACATTAGGTGTCGGTGGTACCTGCACGGGGGTCTAAACTCTCCATTGGCTTTTTGCCATAACTTGCTGTACAATCCCCCGAATTCTAGCTTCATCCAAGGGAGGAGGCGTAGATTCTGGTGGGTTAGAAGGTTCTCCCTCATTCATCACACTTTTACCATGGTTTCGGGTACTACGCCTCATCTACAAAACAACTACACTTGATCAATTTGAGAAACGCTCATGATAAGGAAAGAATTAACTTACACAGTCGGCTATCGGACGTCATGGCGATGAGAATAGTACACTGTCAAATCCCAAAATCTCTGCTTTGATACCAAAAATGTAATACCTGCTTTATACTACTATATTCATAGAAACACATACAATAAAATAAAGGTACGTTAATAAAAATAGTTGGGCCCAAAAGTTTTCTTTCATTTAATATACATAAAGTTAGTATCATTTACATAAAGTTAGTATCATTTACAAAAGTTCTCAAAAGTGTGGTGGACAGTGTAACTACTCACCCTCGCCCGCTGACGTCCATCCGACTGCGTACTCACCTGGAACCTGCAAAACCATAGAAACAATGGGGTCAGTATAACTAATGCTCAGTAAGTAAATCCTCTACTTATCTATCCCCGTAACACTTTCTCTTAATTCTTTCCTTACACTATTCTTTTCTCCTCTCTGTTCTCTTTCTGTTTCTGTTTCTCATATTCTTTGGTATACACCCCTTGTATGTCATGACCCCATCTTACCGGAGGCACGGCCGGGAACTCAACCAGCTCTTCGTGACTTTACTCTTTTTCTCTTTCTGTTCTTTCTATTCCTTTGTTTCTCATTCTTACTCATTGGAATGTCACGGCCTCATCTGACTGGAGGCACGGCTGAGAGCTACCACTCTACGTGACTTCTACTCATTTCTCTACCGATCAGATTTGGTCATGCATGGATTCGGAACCCTTGGCCATGTGAGTGTACATTCTTTCTCTATATCTCTTGAATGTCACGACCCTTTCTTATTGAGGGCAGGACTGGAATCTCATGTTCCACTCTACGTGACAGTCACGGCCCCATCTTACCGAAGGCATGGCTGGGGATCACAAAACACCCACTCTCGTGACTCTACTCATCACTCACGGGTTCCCCATCGCATAACTTACTCTATTCTCTTCTTTAGCTCTTAGAGTAGCTTGTGCACAAGGTCTCTACTCTTTCTCTTGCTACTCATCATAATGTAGCTTAACTCTTAGAGTAATTCTCTACTCTTTCTCAATTCTTTCTCAAGCTACTTCTCAATGCACAATTAATGCATATGGATGGTTCATGCTCATTAATGCACATAGGAAATGCCAATATGCAATGTTGCAATAAGTAAGGTTCATAACTCATGCTCATGCTTCTCTTAGGCATTTCATCATACAACTCATGTGCATATAAAAACTCTTCTCTAACTACAACTCTATTTCTCTTTTTAACCATCCGAAAATGCGAATGAACTCCCTTCCATGGGCATAACCCCTACCATAGAAGAACACTCCCAAAATATATAATCAATCTCATTTAACTTTATCTCAACTCATAACACAGCAACACTTCTTATAAAGAAAATATACCCAACAACACAATATGGATACTCATTCTCAACTTATTTTCTCAACAAGTAGACATATATCTCTACTCAATTTCTCAATAACATACATATAACATGCATACCTCATTTCTACTAAATCTCTACTCAAGAGAATTCTCAAATCTCAACTTGGGTTAGGATTTACATACCTTGTGATGATGTGATTCCACTAACACTTCTCTTTTCCTTTGGTAGAAGACTTTTCTCTACACCTTAAAACAATAACACATTAAGACCTCATCACCTTTATAGGTAAAATTCACATCTAGAGTAAGAAATCTCACCTTAGGATGACTTAGATCAATTCTCTACCAAGATCTAACTAAAAACCCTTCAAAATCCTTAAAAGCTTGAAGGAGAAATTGAGAGGAAATGGATAATGAAAGAGGCGATGGTAGAAGATGAATGAATGGGTTTCTCAAGGTAAACCCTTATTATTTCATATTTTCTCCACTCTTTCCCCTTTTTACCCTTACTCTTTCTTAAGAATTCCACTTTTTTCCTTTTAATTCTTTACAAATGCAACCCCATTTAAACTATTCTCCATGCAATTTCCTTGAATTTCACTCCCCACTTATCCTGCTAATTAGGGGTGGAATGGTCATTGTGCCCCAAAGGAAGAATTCTCTAGAAACTCATTAAACCTTTTTGTTAGGCTCGTTGCCGCGGCAAAGACTATTTCTTCACCCCGACGAAACTTCCCAGAACCTACACCGTGGGTTGCAGGGCCTCATCGCCGCGGCGACGATTTCAGGGCCACCACTCAGCAAAACCAAAGCATCCATTCAATCAAGGGCCAACCAAACCATATTAACAATATTTCAAGTCAACAAGAGTAAAGTAAGAGACATTAGCTACGTACCTCGAGTGGGGCGTTACAAAAAATCTAGAGTGCAATGGCTTAGAGAGGGTGACCAGAACACAAGCTACTTCTTCAAGTGTGTGAATGGCCAAAAGAATAGAAATAAAATCACCAAGCTTAAGAATGATAACGACATGGTTTTTGAAGACCCTTTGAGCATTAAAGAGGAAATTGTCAGCCACTTTAAAAGAGTATTTGATGAGCCTAGGGGTGTGAGGGACTACCGAGGTTTACAGGAACTTATTGAACCTTGCATTACTAGTGATATGGCTAATGGGATGATTGCCGAAGTGATGGATGAGTAAATCAAGAACACTATGTTTTCTTTGGTCAATAACAAAGCTCCTGGACCAGATGGTTTTAGTGCTTATTTCTTAAAGAAAGCTTGGGATGTGTTAGGCAAAGATGTGACTATGGCCATTAAAGACTTCTTCAAAGAGGGCAAGCTTCTTAGGGAGGTAAATTGTACTTCAATTGCTCTTATTCCCAAGTGTGATAATGCTTCTTTGTGTAAGGACTATAGGCCCATTTCTTGTTGCAACATTATTTATAAATGTATCACCAAAATCATTGCGAATAAAATTTAGAGTGCTTTACCTCTCTTCATTGACCCGGCACAAGCAGCCTTTGTTGGTGATAGGAGAATAATAGATAATATCCTATTATGCCAAGAGCTGGTGCACAACTACAATCGAACTTCGGCCAAGGAGAAAAGGTGTGCCTTGAAAGTTAATTTAATGAAGGCTTATGACTCGGTTAATTGGGAGTTTCTCTTACAAGTCCTAAAGAACTTTGGATTCCCAAGTGTAGTTGTCAATTGGATATCCAAATGCATCACTCCTCCTAGGTTCTCGGTGGTCATCAATGAAGAGTTGGTGGGTTTCTTTTGGGAGCTCTAGAGGGCTAAGACAAAGGGATCCCTTATCCCCTTACTTGTTTGTTATTGCTATGGAGGTTCTCTCGAGGCTCTTGAATAGAGTGGCAGCTAATCCAAACTTTAGTTTTCATTGGAGATGCAAGAAAATGAGGCTGACTCAACTTTGTTTCGTGGACGATCTCATGCTTTTTTGTAAAGCCGAAGGTACTTCTCTATCTCTCCTTAAGAATGCTTTAATCACCTTTGAAAGTTGGTCAGGATTGAGTGCTAATCCCGAT